TGGATTCTTTCTTGCCAATAAAGGGCTTCGTTATAGTGTTTGATGTAGAAGCAGATGCCATGGAAATTTTTCCACTCTTGATACCACTCTCGACCCTTTCACCAGTCAGAATTAACTCAGTGAAACCGGACGATGAGCTCCCAATTAACAAGTTAAAAAAAGGGCCAATTAAAGTTCCCATGAACATGTCCACTAGCTCCCTATAACTTAGTGGTGGTTGAACTCTACAAGCAAGGTCCCTCCATTTCTGTGCGTACTATTTAAAACCTTCATTGGACCCCATTGTAATTCCTTGTAACTGAACTCTAGCCGTCTCTAAATTAGCATTGTACTGATATTTTCCGTGGAAAGTGGTGGCCAGATCTTCCGAAGTATGAATGTTGGAACCCTCCAACTGGTAAAACCACTCTAACTGAGTCCCAGACAGACTCTCTTGAAAGAAGTGTACCCAGAGCTTCTTGTCAGTGGTATGCGGTTGTATTTTGCGAATATAGGACCTCAGGTAAAGCTTTGTGCATGAAACTCCGTCATACTTAGCAAAGATTGGAATTTTCAACTTGTGTGGGATAACAACCCCAGGTACCAAGCCTAAATCACCAAAATCCAAGCTAGGTATGGCTAGAATTTCCATAGCTTTCAGCCTATCCTCTAGTTGCTTGTATTTATCCTCAGTCGGTGGATATTGTTCATCAAAGTAGTCTTCATCCCCATAGCTTGATCATTTGCACCCCCAACACGGGTGCTCCTTGCGTCTTCCTCTTAGTTCTCGTCTTCCTTGGATGACTCTTCAACTACTTTCACTTGACGGATGGGATCTTTAAACCTTTTCCCCATGTTGATCAGTTCTTTCTTCTTGGTCTTCTTTTGGGCCACCAGAAGTGACATCAACTCTTGTTGTCCCTTTCCCAAGGTGAGAAAGGTTTCTTGAAATTGAGAATTCTGCTTCTGCAGATCTTTCACGGTTTGCTCGAGATCCATCTTACTGAAATAAACAGTAGAAAGATGAGGAAACCCGTGTCTGAAAACCTGATTATGTTATGATGCATGAAATGCGTATGAAAATGATTTCAAGGATTTTTAAGATTTAAATTTGTTTAGACAAAGAGGGAATGAACATTAATTGCATTAATAAGTTCAAACGGTTACAAGATGCCTCTTGGGCTTACAATGGAAGAAACAAAGATAATACAAAATAAACTCCTAAAACAAAAAGGACTCAAGTTTCCCATGAGCGCATCCTCTTCAGTGCAATGTAGGCATTCCAACTCCGCTCTTCATGAAGTTGTCTTGTGAGCTCCAAAACCTTCTTCTCGCTTGAGTAAAATTGGGCTTCAAAGGTGTCTCGCTCCCCTTTTAGTTGAATCCATGACCTTTGCAACTCCTCGAGAGTAGTAGGCATGTCAGGATGAAGAATAGTGTAGGGAATATCTCCTTCGGCAATAGGCTCCATGATGATAGGTAGGATGGCCTCATATAACATCATGAGGTTTTGAGCACGAGCTCGCACCCACTTGAGATAAGGCTCCAAAGGAATTGAGTTCTTATGTCCTAACGTCTTGCTATCAAATTTGTTCACCATGCCCTAAGCTCATACAAATCTTTGACGATAACCTTGGACACCGCTCTCATAGTCAAATACAATTCCTTGGACAAGCGCGTCATGAGGACCATCCCTCCTAGCATACCCAAATTGTCGCAAAGCTAAACAAGGGTTAAGGGTAAATCCTACCCTAATACCAAGGAGAGGGACATTATGGAATTCCACACAGCGATCAATGATGATAACATCCTTCAAAGATCGAGAACACCAATAAATATCCGAATGCGTGAGTGACATCAGCCTATTAGACCATCTCATGCCTTGCTCATTCTTCAAAACAGGTCGAGGTAGGTGCGAAATAAACACCTAGCCAATATAGGGGTTTAACACATAAGAATTCCTCTTCTCTTCATGGTGCGAGAGTGAAGAGAGTGCAAAATGTCTCCAAGCAAGGTAGGCACCGGGTTACGGGATAGAAAAACTTTGAACGCATTCACATCTATGAGTTTGTCCGGGATAGGAAACAATACCATCCCATAGATTAGAAGAGCCACCACTTATTCAAAATCTTGCAAATCTATAGCCTCCCAAAATTGTTGAGCCTTCTCAATAGAAACTTGGCTAGAAACCCTTTAACACCACTTCTTGTTTCCCAATTTTCCACAACGTCAGACCATTGCAAATGTAAAGCTCGAGCAATCTCCTCAGGTCTTGGTTCTTTCTCAATACCAGTGAAGGGTGATTGATTAAGAATATGCACCCCCAAGAGTTGAGAAAATTCTTCCATGGTAGGCACTAGTTGGTAATGAGGAAATGTAAAGCAATGGTGCTTAGGATCAAAGAATTGGAAAAGCACATGTACCATATCCTCTTCAAAGTTTGTGGTAACCAATTTGATGAGACGACCATACTTCTTGGTGAACGGAGAATCATTGGGAACCCTTGATGCTAATTCCTTGAGTTGAGGAGGCACTCTCACAAGGTTGATTCGGATGGTATTTCTTCACATGGAAGCCATGTCCTATAAAACAGTATAAAGATAAACCCCAAAGTCCTTAAAATAGTTAGTATAAATGCAAAGGTATGATGTCATGATGTTATGTACAATTAAACACATACAAACAAAGAAAACAAGTCCTTAGGTTTTGGCTTGCATGGGGTTCATAGGTATGTACCCTCTTGAAGTTTAGTTGGTTCAACCTGTCCTAGAAAGTAATCGGGTTCTAGGGGATCTCAATATTTGTGATTTCTTTATTGGCCATTGTTTCAGCGCAAGCCTCTTTATTAGCGGACGAAATATCCCAAAAGTAATATCTCAATAAGTTTAGTATCGAGTATCACCAACTTCGGACTGCACCAAAGCCGGTTACCTCACTACTTCCTAATGGCCAAGTTGTTTAATTAAAGGTTCTAAGGTTCGTTAGTGCTTCATCACACCACAAAGAGGCCCCGTATTCTCCTTAATTCTCCATAAGGGATACCAGTACCCATAAATGTGTCACACTAACATAGCTATTGTCTCAACCATATCGGTCTACACCGTACAGTCTCCATAATTTTTACTATTTACCTAATGATGTTCCCAGATATGGGTAGAGGATCAATACAAACCCAAACAAGGACCCATAAATGTAAAGCAAACAAATCAAACAATGAAAGCATTTTAAGGTGATCTAGCTCTAAGGTAACCCCTTTTTTTAAGATTCTCCCCAGTAGAGTCGTCAGTTCTGTAATACAGTGGGAGAACTGACTTGGGTGTTTTGCATTTTATCGCAATTGTTGCGGATAGCAAGAGTCGCCACCGAATTTTCTTTTATCCAATAAAGGAAAGGGTGAAAAGAACAGGAAAGACCCTTTGAGAATATTTTCTTGAGTTCGAGGGATAGGTTATGAAAAGGGAAGGTGTTAGCACCCTTTTCATCTGTAGTTATCTACGTGCTCTTAGTTGCTAGCTCACTTTGAAAATGCTTTGTTTGAAATGTGTTTGTGATGATTTTAGAATTATTTTGGAAAATTGTCATTGTTTAGGCGAACTTTGTAATGATTCTCGTCTTTATAAGAATGTATACAAAGTGTTGACTTTTGAAAATATTTCATTTTTGAAAGTGTTGGTGTGATTAAATGATGGTGTTTTAAAAATGTTGTGAGCAAGCAACTATGTGCTTTTCCTCCTCCTTTAAATGTTGTTATCTTACCATTGATTGGTAAGAAGCCCCATTATTGGATGTGGAGGGACAAGCGCGGGTCGTCGTACAACATAGAAGGGAACTTATGAGACGCTTTAGCAATTTTTGTAAGGGACTAAGATTGTTTTACCGAAGGCAACATCGAAGGGTCATCGAGGGGCTACGATCTTTTTTATCGAGGGTCTTTGCTAAAGCGTCCGACATTCGAGGGACATGACTGTTTTTCCGAGGCAACAAGCGAGGTTACCCTAGAGGTGCGTGTCTGAAAAGTGTGTTTGACTCAAGTTAATTTGTCTTTGATTATATTGTCTTTGAAGTTTATGGTTATCTATCGTTTGATTTTGTATCTTATCATACACGCCTAATTACTATACAGTATACAGGAAAACAGTAAATGTGGAAATTAAAATTCTACGCTATTACAGAGCTTTCAGGGATAGGGATACAAATTTACAAATGGGGATGAATCGAATTGACAATGAGGTTAAAAATTATAATAAACAATTAATACAACCCAATCGAATTAAAAATGAACAAATAATTAAACTAAGATAAATTATTAAATAAGATTAGTTAGCGAAATAATTAATAATATCAAAGTAATGTATTTGGTATTTTGTTTTGAAAAGTTTGAATAAGATAATAAAATAAAATAATAAAATCTATTCTATTAAAATAAAATAATTGGCTAAAAGAAATTAAACAATTTGAAAGAATGTTAACAAACAGATGTTTATTATTAAAATTACTCACAAAGCCCTAAACTAAATTAATTAATAAAATTAACTAACTTTGAAATTATATCTTTTTTAATTGAATTTTAAAAGAATTAAAACTAGATATTAATCAAATTAAATCTAAACTATATAAAGTTATTAATTTAAAATTCTAATTTACTAAATTAAACCTAAACAAAGCTAAATAAATTTAAATTAAATATAATCTAAAGTAACTCTAAAGTTATTAATGATGATTCTACATTCTAAAGTTAAAAAAAAAAAATCTAAAAAATCTAAATTAATACTAATTAATCTAACTATAAAAGAGTGTCAATCGTAATTATTGGTGAGATAGCGACAAAATTTCTGGACTTTTAAAATTGTAAGAAAATTGGCCCATGTGATTAAAAACAAAAAAAAACAAAAAAAAGTTAGAATGAAATAAATAAAATATATAATAAAAAACATAGTTGGGCCCACACGAATTGGGACTGGTCACACCCGGCTCAACCCCTTCTCCATAAAGCATTGGGTTGTAATAACCCTAAATAACATACAAAACAGCAGTCCATCAAGCATTCTTTCCCCACCTCTTCTTCATGATTTTTTTTGCTATCTTAGTTCATTTCTCTAATCTTCCTTCGCTTTCTAACAGTAAAACGATTTCTATAGTTCTTCTTCCATCCTATACTCTCAATTTCTCTCATATCTCACAGTAGACATGATAACAAACATTAAATACAAATTAAATCAAGTCAATCGAAAAAACACAATCAAGGAGGAAAGATAAATTTATCGGTCGACGCTATGATGTTGTGGAGATTTTTTCGGCGCGACGTGAGCAGGGTGGTTGAGTGAGTTACATACACGTTGTCGCGTGGTCAAGGGGAACTCGAAGATGTAAGAGGGAAGGCCAAACGGGAATCACGTATTTTTCGGTGTGGGTGACTTGAGGTCAATTCTATTTTATTTGCTTTTAATTCAAATTTGTTGATGCTATGGCGTTATTGCAGCATGACAGTAAATTTATTCATAGTTGATGTTGAAACATTAGCATTGTGATGATGCTTCTGGAGTGCGATGAAGATGATAGAATGAAACGATGCTACAGATGCAGTGTGAATTGTTTTTGTGCTAATAGGATTTTGAAGTTTAACTGAGGTAAGTTTTTGGTGTAAGGTTTAAGAAATGAAATAATGAATTTGGGGCAGAACTTTCGTGAAGCTTTTTTTGTTACATTTTCTATGCAATTTTTCTGCCCATTGTTGGTGTTCTAAGTAGTGGATATTTGTATGTGTTAGTATCTGAAATGTGAATGTAGTGAAGTTATCGTAAGGTTTAAGTGCAGATGAAGGACAAAAGCATGGTTTTTTTTGTTCTGTGAAATTTTTCTGGTTTTTGCTTAACAAAGATTTTTTATATGTTGATTTTGTGAAGATAGAGGTTGAGATGTTTTCATGGATGATTGTGTTAGAATTTTTCTATTGTCTAATTGCTTTTGTTATATAGGTGAGATAGATGAATTTTGGGGGTAAAAAGTATAGCTTTTGAACTGTATTATAGTATACTGCTTTGTAACTTTTAAGGGCAACCTTTTGTTTTTGCTAATTTTGTGTATGGATAGCATATTTTGTACTGATATGGTGCGGTTTTTTGGACAATTATTTGGCAGGTTTGGACAGCAATGGAGCAGTTTTTTAGCAGCTAGTGCAGGGATATGGCACAGTTTATTTTTGTGAGTGCAGGCCTGGAGTTGATTTAATGTTTGATGCAGGGCTTATAGTTTCAACTGGTGAGATGTATGGTATTGCATACTGCAGGCTGCAAGCTTTGTGAAGCAGGATTAGTCATGGATCTATTTTGGAGGGTTTAGATTTAGAAACAATGTTTTTGTTGTAAAGTTTCTCTTTTATCCAATGCTTAGGATGTGAAGACAACATGAATTACAATTGATGCTTGTAAAATTTTGAGTGAATGAAATTGCTTGTATTTTAATTGCACATTCGAATAATTTAACTTGTTAGATCCTTGCTTGTAATTTTTGTAGCTTGAAACTTGAATGAAGTTGAATGAAATTGAACAGTAGTGAACTTCGAAAGTGGACTTTTGAATGATGAATGGATAATGATACATGCCTTGAAACTTTTAATGCTCCTGGATTTACTTGAATTAACATTGATGAACTTGTATCTTGAAGTTTGAATCCAATTCTTGAATGGAATAAGAACTTGACGTCTTGAATGATGATGAATGTCTTAAGTAAAAATCAATGAATAAAGGAACTATGCCTTGCACATTCGATTTAACCTTTTAATTCTAAAGGATACAAACTCCAAGAGTTATTGATAGATTCCTCTTCCAAAATGGACTGAATTCAATCATATCATGAAATTCACCTTTCGTTTCAAAACTCAAAGTATTTTCAAATATGAAGTTTCTGCAAACCCACTTTGAATACTTAAAAAGCATGTCTTGTAACAATCGTTGACAAATCTTAAATCAACTCATCTTGCATCATAAATCGAGCCAAACGTAAAAGGCCTTGAACAATCAATACAAGTGGGTTTCAAGATAAAAGTTTTTTTGTTGAGAAGTTGGCACCATGAATTGAAATTAGAAATCGAGAAACTTCTAAATCAGGAAAAATGACCTACAACGCTTCACTAAAATTCAAAGCCTTCTAAACACAATTTGACTTTGATTTTTAAAGTAAACTTGTAGATGGTATCGCTTATGATGCTGTGCAAAAATAATCATCTCGAGATCTTTGAAAATTTAGGAAATTACGATTCTTTGGAAGTCAGGCAACAATTACTTGAGATTAGGTCAAAAATCTAGAAAGTGACCTCTAAAATATTCGAATTTTTTGATGATCTTTCACACACAATCGAATCTTGACTTGTAAAGAGAAGTTGGAGATAATGTCAAGGAGAGTCATACGCAAAAAGAACCACTCAAAAATATCTAATAATGAAGAAGTTACAATCGTTTGAACTTGATCTTGGAAAGGTCAACTTTTGGGTTAATGAAGTTGATTTTCAGTCATCTGAACCATTGAATGAGCAAACATGCAATGCAAGGCTCGAAACTTGGCATGAGCGTCCTTGAGAATACATGAATAACCATGCAGACCATTTTAAACTTGGAAACTCAATTTTGCTTGAGAAGTACCAAACCCTAGCTGTTGACTCAATGCTTAGGAGGAGAATTTGTCTGATCAAATCCTGAGCCATTTTGAGTATTTGAGAAACCCTAGGATAACATCTTGAATGAAAAATGGGAGGAAAATTTTTGGGCTACAACAGTTAGCTAGCTCTAAAACCTCATAGAAAACCTTAAAATCCCATGACAGTCCTTAATCACTTAGAGTTGTCATGTATTGCACTTTTTACAATTGGAGCCTACCGTGGAGTCCGATAAAGTTTACTTGGGCCTCTATTACCAGACCTAGCTAGATGTTATCTTCATGTCCAATTCCTCCATCCATCATGGTAAACAAGAATGAATCAACTTTGGCCAATAGTGAATCTGACAGCGAGGAGAACGCCATGGCAGAGATGCAAGTTGTCATGGACGATTTACGGCGCCAGAATCAAACATTGAAGGATAACCCCCTCCATGTTCAACAACAGTAGTATGAGGTTAACCCAATAAAATAGGTTGAAATACTAGACCCTTAACCTATCTTTTATGAAACCTGACAGGCTCATGTGCAAGATAATTTCAAGTCGCCCTCGTTGGCTAAGTATGATGGGCACAATGAGCGGTATGAGTATGAAATATCCATCACCACACAGATAGACATTGATGACTTAGGTATGGTCCCAGGAGTAAGTATTCCCCCAAAAATCAAGAAACCTGATTTCCTTAGGTACAATGGCACTACTTGTCCTAAGACTCACATTAAGTCTTACTACAGAAAAATGTATGCGTATTTCGATGATGAAAAGTTGCTTATGCACATTTTTCAAGATAGTTTGGTCGGGGTATCTCTTGGGTGGTACATGCAATTGGAAAGGACCCATATCCAAAGCTGGATGGATTTGGCAGAGGCCTTTGTGAAGAATTTCCAGTATAACAGTGATATGGCCCCGAACCGTATTCAGTTGCAAATTTTGACTCAGGGGAAAAATGAATCTTTCAAAGAGTATGCACAGAGGTGGCTTGAGTTTACAGCCAGGATATGAATACTCTATAGGATCCTTATTATTATCATTTGGTTGGAAGTACTTTCATTGGTTTTTCTGATTTGGTAATGGTTGTAGAAAGGGTTAAGGTTTGTATTAAGTTGGGTATGACCCAAACTGCTGTTGCCGTTGGTTATTCCAGAGGAGGGAAGAAGCCCTTCAATGGGTATTCAAATAAGAAAGAGGGTGATTCTAATGTTGTGTATGGACATAAGGGTAAGGGAAGATCTTACCAAGAGTCGTATCAATAGGTTGTTGATGTAACAATTCCATCTGTAGTGCCACAACAACAACCACGACAATACCAACAGGCCTATGCACCCTGTCAGGGTAATTATCAGTAAAGACCAAAGAAACCTCCGAGGAGGTTTTATCCACTGCCTATGTCATATGCTCAGCTACTTCCTCATCTACTTTGGTTGAAATTGGTTGAATTTCAAACTCTAAACCCCCTTCTAAGCTTCCTTCTAACTACGATGCTAACACCTGGTGCCAGTTTCATTCAGGGGCTCCGAGCCATAATGTTGAGAACTGTGTAGCTTTGAAACATAAGGGGAAAGACTTTTGGATGCTAAAGCCATTGATTTCTCCCAAGATAATAGCCTTAATGTCAATGCAGTGGTGCAAGATGAAGGTTTAAATCTGATAATGAATGTTAATCTGTTGAAGACTCCACTATCTTTATAAAGGAGTAGTTGCTGAAGCGGGTTTTTTATCCTAGTTGTGCTTTATATAGTGAAGGGTGTTTAGCTCAACCTGAGGGTTGTATCAATTTGAAAAATGAAATTCAGAGATTGATTGATAAAGGTACTTTAGAGTTTGACAATTTATCAGTTGATAAGAAAGTTGATGTGATCAGGTGGATATGATTACTATTCTCTATACTCCTGAAAATATCCCTACACTAGTGAAGAAGGCTATGTGTATTATTACTTTGCCTGGTCTCGTCCCTTACAGTAGTGACAAAGTAGTACTATGGTGCTACGAGGATGAGGTGTTTTATCAGGGACAGAAACATGAGGTTGAATCAACCACAATCGGTACTCCTGAAATTAATGATGTTTTTGGCATAATTTTCGCTCGTCCCCAGAAGATTTGGTCATCTACAATTGGTACTCCTGAGATAATGAAGAGCCAGTGCACAGCCTTCCAGTGTGGAATCCAAGTTCTGAGTTCCCATCTTCCAAAGATGTTGAAGAATTGATGAGGTATATAAATAAGAGTGATTACATGATTATTAATTATCTTAGTCATACTCCTTCTAAAATATCTATCTTATCCTTGTTGTAAGATGATTTTTTGTTTCCCCACATTGATGTTCATGTGGATAATACTGCTCATTCGAAAATGTTTTCCTTCATGGAGAAGACAACTTTTATTACCATGTATGGAACTTTCTGTTATAAGTTGATTCCCTTTGGTTTGAAGAACTCATGGGCAACGTATCAACACACAATGTACACTCTCTTTCATAATATGATTCATAAGGATATTGAACTATATGTTGATGATATGATTGCAAACTCTAAAAC